TATATATATATGTATATATATATTAAAGCCAACGGCTAATTTTATTGAAATATAAAGGGATACATAAATGTTATATGAGAAGAGCCCAAAGAAGCGCCCTATTCATACGATACAAGTACATAAAAACTCCAACAAAAGGTACTAGTATACTCAAATAAAATTAAAAACAAATTTAAAACATGCAGAAAACAGTAGCTAAGAACGAGCCAGTTTAGTCATGTCTCTTCCTCTAGTTTTAAAAGCGGAACCAGATAACAAGCTTTGAAGAGTCGTGTCATTGCCAGAAGTCACCAAAGTATCATCCATTAAGTTTCCAAGTTGGAGTGAGCCCTCAGGCTTCTTCTTCCGCCGAGAAGTGTAAACCTGTCATTCTTCATCTAAAGACTGACTCATATGATCCTCGATCTGATTTGATGTTAGAACTGCAGTAGGAGAAAAGATAGTTGTTGCCACCGCGATAGGTTCCAGTGTATGTGAAGTGTGAATTGTTACCTCTGCACCTGATGCTTCCTGAATAGGAGCTGCGGGACTATCCAGATTTTCAGTTCGAATATTATCCATTGTAGTATGGTCAGGAGAAAGAATCCCAAGGGCAGACACCAACTCTTGTCTTGTGGTGTTTCCCTCCTCAGGTTGGTTGTCATCAGGTTTTCTGAGAGCGCATTCAGGCACATGGGGTGCGCTAACAGTGTGTTCCTGCTTTTGACTACTGGTTCTCAACTGTGGGTGCAATTTGAAACATTTCTCCTGCGGGTGTCCAAACATCTTGCAGCGCTTACAGTAGTATGAGTTTTGTTCCATAATGATTTTTTGCCAATAACTATTGTGAGCAGATCCAAGCCATACTTCTTCTACATCTGGTAGTGTAATATCTCGTTCAATCAAAATCCTTGCAATAGAGGGTCTTGAGAAATGAACTGTAGGTAAATCTACCTGCAAAAATTTTTCAAGGATAGTCCTAATTGCATATAAGATAGGTAGATCAAAGAAATGAAGCTTGAGTTCAAGTAATGAGAACCAGATAGGTGCAATTGACTGAGATCAAAATTGGGAGTCCATTTGAGCAATTTCATATGTTTGCCCTCAATTGTGATGAATTTCTTTGAGAAAATCCTCGTGTAATCATCTTCTGTGCTCAGCTATATCATAACATGTCTTCCGTCGAAATGACCCACCTGTCAATCCCCAATCAGTTTGAAGTCTTCAAAAATCTTCCTGATGATCTCGAACTTAGGGCAACCTAATTGGAACTTTTCAACCAGTGTAAATTTGTATTTTGCAGTACAAGTTGAAATTTCAGCATCATAAAAGAAAATTGCTGGTTGCAGACATCAACTCCTGTCTTGTGGTGTTTCCCTCCTCATGTTGGTTGTCATCAGGTTTGCTAAGAGCGCGTTCAGGCACATGGGGTGCGCTAACAGTATGTTCCTGCTTTTGACTACTGGTTCTAAACTGTGGGTGCAATTTGAAACATTTCTCCTGCGGGTGTCCAAACATCTTGCAGTGCTTGCAGTAGTATGGTTTTTGTTTCATAATGATTTTTTGTCAATAACCATTGTGAGCAGATCCAAATCATACTTCTTCTACATCTGGTAGTATAATATCTCGTTCAATCAAAATCCTTGCAATAGAGGGTCTTGAGAAATGAACTGTAGGTAAATCTACATGTAAAGGTTTTCCAAGAATAGTCTCAATTGCATATAAGATAGGTAGATCAAAGAAATGAAGCTTGAGTTTAGGTAATGAAAACCAGATAGGTGCAATTGGGGGTTCTTGACTGGGATCAAAATTGGGAGTCCATTTGAGCAATTTCATATATTTTCCCTCAATTGTGATAAATTTCTTTGAGAAAATCCTCGTGTAATCATCTTCTGTGCTCAGCTGTATCATAACATGTCTTCTGTCGAAATGACCCACCTGTCAATCCCCAATCAGTTTGAAGTCTTCAAAAATCTCCCTGATGATATCTTAGGGCAACCTAATTGGAACTTTTCAACTAGTGTAAATTTGTATTTTGTAGCACAAGTTGAAATTTCAGCATCATAAAAGAAAATTGTTGGTTTACCCGCTTTTTTTTCTACTTTTTTGATGAGATTGCAATCACCATTTCCTGCAACAGAATCATGATAAACCTGCGGAAATACCACACTATCTGCGAGGTGAAAAGGGGAGCTGCGTTTGTGAATCACTGTAGCATAAGAGGGTTTGGCGAGGTTATCATCGGCGAGAGCAGCGGCGTAAGAAAGCCCTGAGGCCATTACCGCAGCCAGTGCCAACCTGCAGCACAGTGAGAAGCTTCACGAGAGTCAAGCGGCTCTGTCACGCCTATGGCAAAGTCGAGCAGAAGAAGTTGTCTGTCGCAAACGAAGAAGTTTTGTCTTTCGCAGACGAGACGCGGCAGACGAGCGGCTCTGTCTGTCGCAAGCTGTTGAGCGGCTCTGTCGCAGGAGACGTGACTCGACGGCTCTGTAGCAGACGAGACGCAGCAGGAGCGACTCTGTCGCAGACGAAGAAACTGTCGAGCGGCTGTCGCAGATGTGACGGGGGAGTTGACCGCAAGTACTGTCGCCAGACAAAATGCGAACGCAAATGCGAAAGGAAGCAGACGCTGAAGCCCAAAGACGTTAGGGTTCGCCATGTGGCGGAACCCTAGCAA